GATGGTAGTTACATCATCTGTTGTTAACTTGAGACTATTAAGAGTGAAAGGGTGGAGGTTAGCCTGTCAGTCAGGTCGCAGACTGATGACCTCATTCAGAGGCACTAAGGTGATAAATAGCTCACTGGAGGCAGGACATACACTTACGCCCTGCAAGACATTTTTATTGACAAGCCACATGGAGACACACTGATAGAGCCAGAGCCCTGGCGCTGGAGGAGCCATGTGGAGACCTATGCCAGTGCTGAGATGCTTCCACCACCACTGGATCTAGAAGACTTTCCACTCACTGGTCTGTGATCTTTCTTCCTGCATTTCGCATCATTGTGTGTGTTGCATGAGTCTGAGGAATTTATAGACTGGTATCAGGGATATGGGCTAATGTCAGCCTTATGGACTTGATTTGGCCTGGGCTGGGATGTTTTCTCAATATACAATTGCTCTTTTATATACAGCTCTTTCTTATACACATACAAGTGTCTATGAATTTGTTCCTGTAGTCTACCGGGACTGAAACAGCATCCAAAGGATTCACAGACACATAGCTAATTACAGTGTATGGAAAACAAAGGAAATTTGCCACAAAATCATGGTTGGTGGCAGATCAAGGCATCACTTGAAGTTGGGAAAAGGGCTGTCATTGGGATCCATGCATGACTGCAGATTAGAAAAGTTTATAGGAATGATCCTGGGACTTTTGGCCACTTTGGTCAGGGTCTGATTTAGGACCATGTAGTCCTGGTGCCCCAATTTCCATTAAGGCAAGTCTCTGAGGTAGAGACTGCCCCTCCCCTCAGGCTGGCTCCACTTATTCCCATGCAGTTGATGCAGACTCATAGCGTAGTCCGCATTATAAGCACTGCCCGTTTTCTTCCCTGGCGGCTAAACCCAAAGCGTTCCTTTCTTCCCTCATAACTGTCAGCAGTAACACTTCGTGGGCAACCTGATGCGCCAGGCATGGTGCTATGTCCATTGCATTTATTAATTCACTCAATTCTCTCAACTGTCCCAAGAGGCAACTTTTATTACTATCAGGAAACTTTTGATGAGGAGGGTTAGTGATTTGTCCAAGGTTATATGATCTGTAACTAAAGGCTGGGGTTGTAGCAAAGGAGGTCGAGGTCCAAATCCCATGCGCTTCATTCCCATGCTGTTCTTGTGGTTAGCTCTCATGCAGGCACCTGGGCCCAGGGGAACCCCATGCACAACAGATGCTGCCCTGACCTGCCCCATCCACATGATAGACAGATTGTGGATTAGATGATTGTGCTTCATGACGTTTTCAATGCCTAGAAGTATATAACCAGGTATTTTTTCCTAGACCATTTTGCCTGTGAATTCTGCTAACCTCTGCTTAGCATTGTAGTAACATGTAAGTCTCTACTGATGGAATGGCAGTGACTGTGTGCAAGGTAGTCCACTCACTTAGTATGGCTTTTCTGCCCACAGCCTTTGTCATTTCCTCCCGATGCCTTAGTGGCACATGCAAATAAAGGGTAAAGGACTCTAATGAGAGGATTGGTCAGTTCTTCCATTTCTCTGAGGATCAGAGAGCCATTTCAGAAGGAGGTAAAAAATCCTTTGATCCCCAAACAAAGAACAGCTATCAGTGTAGTACACACAAGAGCCCTGCCTAGAGTAGTGGAGGCCACAGGGGGCTGAAGCACCAAGACCAGGAGACAGAGCAGAGTCGCATTTCTGTGACTGGGAGGCAGAGTGGCAGGAGGGCTGCCTGACCCACAGAGACAGAGACCAGCAGACCAGGTAGCTGAGAGGCTGTGGGCCAGCGACATGTCTGGCAGCCTGGCTGAGAAGACGCGCTACAGACGAATGAAGGTATCCTTACCATTTCGTAACCTGTTCGCTCCCCTAATAAACCCTCCTAATTGTGAGTCATACCCGTCGGTTCTGGGTGACCACTGCAACTCATTATTGAATGCTGCAAAGAAGTAAGGGCTTTCGGAGGGATGGTGGGTGTCAAAATAGGGCAAAGCAGGATGGGGGATGGCGCATGCCTGCCCTCGGTCTTGTGGCAAATGGCCTTGGACCAGCGTGGGGTTGTACTCTGTCTCCTTTGTGTAGCCAGATGAGTTCAACTGTGGCCCCCACTCCATGTTCTCATTGGGCAGGATGGACCCTGGTTGGGAATTGAACCCGGGTCTCCCACAAGGAAGGAAATAATTCTTCCATTCAACCACCCTGGCTCTCCCCTCTGTCCCTTGCTTTACGCCACTTTTGTATGACCAAGCTGGAGGGTCTGTGCATCGTTAACCTGGTGCACACAGCACATCACGGTGAGAATGTGAATGGGAAGCACCGTGCCGTGCACTAAGCACTGGTGCAGGTGCCGGTCGAGGTTGAGTTTAATTGAACAACTTGGGAAGTAAGAGGATCCGTTTACAGTGGAACAATAACTCCGCTTCTCAAAACGCGGTCCTGCGACAGCTCGCTCACAGTTTTCAAGGACGACTTGCAGATCTACTCCACCTTGACACGCCGCCCATGAGAGGTTCTGTCCTGCCGACTGCCCTGAGGTCTGATTTCTGGTTTTTCTTTTTCAGTGTGATGAGGTATGACGATACCCATGAGATATAGATTTCTATTTACATGAGCTCATCACCCAGGGTAGTAACTATGAAGAACCAGCATTAATAATACCTCTTTTTCCCCCCTCAAATGGATGCGTGCTTAGCTTGTTAAAGCATTTAACCTTAAAAAAAGGTTCTTATTAAGTTAGGACAACGACAATTTACGCTCATGTTTATGCTTTCATTCCAAAGGAGTCATTATTCTCACTGAAAAGGAGATGCCAAATGTTAGGGAAAAACTTCGACTTTTCCCTTGTTGAGAACCAAAGAAACCCACTGCCATTAAGTCCATTTGGACCGTAGCAACCGGAGACAGCCAGAGGAGAACGACTCCCTACGGTATCCGTGCCGATACATCTTGTCAATCCTTCTATGGAGTGCCTTGTGGGGTTGAACTGCTGACCTGGCAGCGAGTAGCCCAAGGTGCAACCTTTATACCACCAGCGATCCTTGCATGTGAAGGAGCTCCATCGACGGCAGCATTCTTGCCATCACTCTGCACCACCCCTCACTGTGCTCCATGGGGCCGAAATGGCTAAGTGGAATGGAAATTTGGGAAGAGTAGACTGGGCATGCCCAGTTTCACTTCTCCTTTCTCTTGCGAACAAGCTGTCCCCAGGAGAGAGATGTTTAGCTCAGTGTTTCCGTATCATCAGCCTTGATTCCTGGCTTCAGCCCCTAGGTCCCCCAACCAAGTGGGACATTGAAGTCATTCTGAGTTTCAGTTAGCAAATCCTCTCTGCCCTAACCTAACTCAGATTTCCTTCCCACTTAGTCTTTACTGGTAACAAAGGTAATGCTTAATCTCTTGTCTGCCCACCTCTTTTGTTGGATTTATCAATTTGGCTAGAATCCAGGACGAGTAGAGCAGTGGCATTTATTGGAGTCCCCCCCATGCCCTGACCAGCTCCTGCAACATTGATTATTGCCTGACCCCATAACCATGGCCAAGGTAAGCGGCTCTGGCTTCTAAGCAGTCTGTTTTCTGTTACTCGACCTTGACCTATCTCCATCCTCTCTGCAGTGCACCAGATCACGGCTAATCTGAGTAGAGAAGGGGTAGCTGGCCCCATGCTTCTGTGCACCAGCTTGAAAGAAACAAGCACTGGACCAAAAGCCAGAAAGCGTCTTCCAGGTGTTGCAGAAGACAAGGCATCTGAAAGTCGAGCGC